AGGTGGGTGTGGTGGTGCACACCTGCAACCCCAGCAAATACAGGTGGGGTGTGGTGGTGCACACCTGCAACCCCAGCAAATACAGGTGGGGTGTGGTGGTGCACACCTGCAACCCCAGCAAATACAGGTGGGGTGTGGTGGTGCACACCTGCAACCCCAGCAAATACAGGTGGGGTGTGGTGGTGCACACCTGCAACCCCAGCAAATACAGGTGGGGTGTGGTGGTGCACACCTGCAACCCCAGCAAATACAGGTGGGGTGTGGTGGTGCACACCTGCAACCCCAGCAAATACAGGTGGGGTGTGGTGGTGCACACCTGCAACCCCAGCAAATACAGGTGGGGTGTGGTGGTGCACACCTGCAACCCCAGCAAATACAGGTGGGGTGTGGTGGTGCACATCTGCAACCCCAGCAAATACAGGTGAGTGTGGTGGTGCACACCTGCAACACCAGTAAATACAGGGGGGTGTGGTGGTGCACACCTGCAACCCCAGTAAATAGAGGTGGGTGTGGTGGTGCACACCTGCAACGCCAGTAAATACAGGTGGGTGTGGTGGTGCACACCTGCAACCCCAGTAAATAGAGGTGGGTGTGGTGGTGCACACCTGCAACCCCAGTAAATACAGGTGGGTGTGGTGGTGCACACCTGCAACCCCAGTAAATAGAGGTGGGTGTGGTGGTGCACACCTGCAACCCCAGTAAATAGAGGTGGGTGTGGTGGTGCACACCTGCAACCCCAGTAAATAGAGGTGGGTGTGGTGGTGCACACCTGCAACGCCAGTAAATACAGGTGGGTGTGGTGGTGCACACCTGCAACCCCAGTAAATAGAGGTGGGTGTGGTGGTGCACACCTGCAACCCCAGTAAATACAGGTGGGTGTGGTGGTGCACACCTGTAACACCAGTGCCTGGGAGAGGCAGGGGGGTCAGACCAGGAGTTCAAGGTCATCACATGGCCAACTGGAGGCCAACCTGAGAAACTCTGTTCTCAAAAAAAAAAAAAAAAAAGAAATTTTATTTGAGTGTTAAGCTTAAGAGCCCACAGCAAGCTTACAGGGAGACTACGACAGTTTATTTGGATGAAGTCTGTTGGTGTGGTTTTTAACTAAAAAAATACACATAACAATACAATTCTTTAGAAACTTCTAAACCTTTTAAAGAGAATTGTGTATTAATGTAAATACCACAAACTTAGATGAAAAGAAACAATATTTAAAATGAAAACAGGTCAGGTCTTTGGAGTTCTGAACTTCCATGAAGGAAGCAGGCTGAAAAAAAAAATCACTTGATCTCAAACAGCCTCTTCCTTTTTTTTTTTTTTTTAATGGAAAAGAATGACTCAGAAAGCCCTGAAGTTGGGATCAAGCTGTAGAGAATCATGAGTAGGCCGTAAAACTGAGCCCTAATCAGAGAAATTGCTAGAGAACTGTTATTGCTATGGCCCCCGCCCCTCCCCCTTTTTGACATGGTCTTGCATATCCCAGGCTAGCCTCAAACTCAGGACAATCCTACCTTGGCCTCCCCAGTGTTAGAATCAGAGACCTATGCCACCACTCTTGGCTCTTTGTTTTTTCCCATTTTGAACAAAAAGGTCTAGAGTGATTATTCTGTGCCTGTTTCCACCATGTGTTAGATATACAGGGAAAATGTAGTTTTCTCTGTTTAGTTTCCAAGTCTTTTTTTCTTTTTCTTTCTTTCCTTTATTTTTGGGAATGTTGTGAGGCTTAAGTGAGATAATGCATATAGGGTTCTTGTTATAATGAGTCTTTGCTAAATGCTTATCTAATATTTCAACTTATTCCCACTGAGAATAAAGCTTTTCTGCTTTATTTTCCTTCAGGGGATGAATGCTATAGAATTTAAATGCATATAAAATTTGATTTTATATCTGTCTATGTGGAGACACATTGCAACAGTTTTTACATTTGCCTCTCTTGGATCATTAACTCTAGGGCAAGCCAGGTATCACATTCTAAAGATACCCCTGGGGCTGAAGAGATGGCTTGCTAGAAATACAGGGTCTGGCCCTATCTCAAAACTACATAACCAAAATTTTGCACTGGCTAAGGGTATAGATGTTAGAGCCAAACTGCCTAAATTTATAACAATTAAAAAAAACTGCAGTATTTGAGCAAGTGTGCACACATGCCAAGGAGCACGTGTGGAGGCCAGAGGACAACATTGTGGAGTTGGTTCTCTCATCTTTTTGTGAGTGGGTTCTTAGGATTGATCTCAGGCCACTAGGCTTGCCAGGTCTTTACCTGCTGAACCTTTGTACTAGCTCAAGCTGTCTAAATTCAAATCCCTGCTTCACCATTTATGTGTGACCTTAGGGAAGCCATTTAACCTGTTTCAAATGAGGTATTTGCAATTAGGGATAATAACAATTTCTACCTCATAAAGTTGTTAAGGACTTAGTATATATAAGAGGACTAATTGTAACAATGCACCACTCATATGCTACTTAAAAAGAATCAGATTTGGGGCTGGAGAGTTGGCTCAGAAGTTAAGCACACTGACTGCTCTTGCAGAGGATCCGGGTTCGATTCCCAGCACCCACACGGCAGCTATGAACTCCAGTTAACTCCAGTTACAGGGGAATCTGAAGCCCTCTTATGACCTCCGTGGCAATGTATGACACGGGTGCACTAACATACATGCAGGCAATATATTCATACACATAAAATTAAAATAAAAAATAAGATTTGTGCTGAGTTTCATTATATCCCCCCCCCCGCCATATAGGATGGTGATGCTTAATTATACTTATCTCACAGAGATGTTGCAAGGGTCAAATCAAGGAAAATAAGTTAAATTACAAATTTTCTAGAGGGTTTCCGTCATGTAGTGGTTATCACAGTTGCCTCACAACATCCTCTATTAAGATTGAATTTACCATCTTACAAGGTATTTTTAAAATTTTTTTCATTTTTATTTTTACGTGTATGACCGTTTTGCTTGCATGTATGCAAGTGCACCCATGTCATACAACGCCCATGGAGGCCAGAAAAGGGCCTGGGATCCCCTGGAACTGGAGTTACAGATGGTTGGTAGCTGCCCTAAGATCTCTTCACCTCCCTTATAAGGCATTCTAAACTGACCTCAAAAAAGCTTGAAGTGAGAGATCAGAAATGAGTTGAGTGTAGGAAACTTAAAATGCTCCTAACCATACAGCTCCATTCAAGAAGATGAACATTCTCATACATTTGTACAGTGGCTCACAATTTATAAAAAGAACTTCTTTGGGGGGTGGGGGAGACAGGTCGTATGTAGCCCAGGCTGACAAGCAAATTTGATTAACAGCAGAATGTATACTAACAATTCCTTTGGCCTTGAGTACTTTTGCATCCGTTCAAAGTACACAATTTAAAGGGAAGACAACCACAGAATTTGATGAATTTTTCAACAGTACCATTCGCTGGCTTCGACTCTTCGAATAACAATACTTTGGGCCCCGCTTCCCATCTGTAACATAGGGAGACAAGAGCTCCACAAAACTGTGATTTAATAAGAACAAAGGCTGGGGTGAACCTACCACGTCGCTGTGCCTTGAATAAAGCCCTTCTTCCCTTTAATAGACAAAATAGCACAAGATACCACTACGCTTGCTATTTCATACACGGTGGAACCCCAAGTCGAGAACACTCTGGTTCCCTTCCTCTACCTGCAACTGTTATATCAACACCGGGGGACGGACAACTCTGAGGTCGACGTCCGTGCCCGCAGCGTGGAGAACCTGTTCTGAGCTGGCTAGGTGGCAGGAAGCGGATGACAATTACTCCCAAGCCTCCAAGGAACTATATCTTACTCCTCAACCGTTCTTCAAGCACCCGGTTGTGCTGCTTTTATTCCTAACCTCGCTGGGGTGAAGGTCGAAACGCGGATCCAGCTACCGACGCCATTTTGAACGCTACGTGTGACGCCACACGTAGCAGAGCGAGCAGGCGATTGGCTGGGCGATACAGACTGAGGATAGGCGCGCGAAGCCAGAGAGTGGAGAGTACGGGAAGTCAAGGGAACTACACTCCCAGACTTCCTTGCGCGGGCGACGCCAAGCAGGGAGCCAAAGAGGACGGAGTTTGGGTTCGGACTACAACTCCCGGTAGTCCCCGCGACGTTCGCCCTTTCCTTTCAAAACGAGGAGGAAAAGAGGCACAGGACGAATGGAGGCTTTAGGGTGCTTGTTTCCCGAAAGGCGGGAAAGGCGAACTACAATTCCCGACGAGCCGCGCGCGGCTGCGCCTGCGCTCTTGTATCTGTCGCCATCTTGCCCCTTCTGAGGCACCGCAAACAAACCCAATTCCTGGTGTCCCCTAGTCTTGGCGGAGGAGCCTTTTAGATGAGCCCCGAAAGGCCGGGCAGGTGAGTGTCGCTTAGGCAGGGTTCTGGGAAGAGCTGGCAGGCCATCCGGGGCACGGGAGCGCTGGGCCAGGCTTGGGGAACCCGGCTCGGGGCGTCCAGCCCCATCCTCCGTTGTTTCCTAACGGGATCGCGGGGCTCCCTGAGGTGGACTGAGGGGGACTGTGGCACGCCTGGTGGTGGGACGCCGGGAGTCGAGCTCCGGGAGTACCCCCGTGAGCCCGCACCGTCCTGCCGGCTGTCCGCGCGCCCGCTCTCTCTCCGTTGTTCTCTCCGTGGAGGAGCGAGCGAGGCGTGGACACCCGCCGGGGCCCCCGAGACCCGCTGTTGGCCGGCGGGGTGCGGGGTGCGGGGCGCGGGCTTGACATTGGGGGCTGCGCTGAGTGGCGCGGGCGAGGAGCCAGGCGGGCGGCTCTTGTTGTGGTGCCGCGAGCGAGTGCGTGTTTGGAGAGGGGGCGGGGCGGGCTGCCCGCTGACACTTGAGCGGGGGACAGATTCTTCTGGATCCCGGTCCCTGCACCGTGCTCCGGGTCCAGCTGCCCGGCTCTGCGGCCCCTCAGTGGGCTCCGCTGGCGGGGATGCTTTGGGATGCCGTGACGTGGTGCCTGCTTCGGGCGGTCGCCGGCCGCCTCCAAGAGATCCTATCGGGAGGCGGGGAAAGGCTTGGGGAGCAAGAGATTCCTATGGCTCGGCCCCTTCCTCCTCTCCACCCCTTTATGTCATCCTGCCAGCTGGGGCGCGCAGTACGATTCCGATTGCTCTGGGTTGGTTCCGAGCTCGGAGGATGTTGGGAAGTAGGGGGAAGGGGGATCCACTTGGGGCGAAGAGTTGGGGTTAGCAGCTCCAGCTCCTGGAACGCGCAACGGACAGTTATATCGGTTCAGTGTTTGAGTCTTAGGCTACCTTGACTGTGACCTCGCTCATTCATTCATTCATTCATTCATTCATTCAGTCAGTCATTCACCCACCCACTCACCCACCTACCTCTCCTGCTAACTATTCTCAGTTTAACAGATTTACAGGTCCACTGTGTGCTAAGCTGGTATTGCGTGGGCCCCAGGCACTATCTTTTTGTTCTCTAGACTAAGGATTTCCCAGTAACTTTTGGTAGTGATCTGGAGTCTAAATTCATACTTCACTGATAAAACTTGAGAGAAGAGTTCTTACTGAGTTTCATGAACCCCAATAACATACTATGACCTCTACTTAGTTTATCTTATGTAGCTAATAAATGAGGAAACTGGCAGAGGTCAAGTCGCTTGCACAAGGTAGCATCTATTTTGCAGGCCACATGCCAGCAGTAACTGTGAGAAAACCTGACACACACTGTTCTTTAACACTTAGAACAGCAAACTGGGTAGGATTACCTCGCTTCACATAATTGTGTAAAACTTGCGTTCAGACAGGCCAATTTACCAGGATAAAACAACTGTTGTGTTGACAAGCTGGAACTAGAACCAGAAAGTGTTTGCTCTAAAACTTGTGCTCTTTCCACTGGAATACAAAAGCTGGAGCAGTGCTCTCACATGATGATTTAATTCTTGGAAAGTGGGTGGTGATGAGAAGTGATTGTGAAGTGTCTTTTCACTTGCTTCTTAACCTGTGTCTGGATCTCCAGGTGAGTGACCTTTTGAATGTGCTTTGGTAATTTGATTTATTTTTCTTCTGGTAGGGAGGACAGGCTCTTTGGGGCTACCAAACAGAAGCATCAATGCCTGTTGTGTGGCCAACCCTTTTGGATCTCAGCAGGGATGAATGCAAACGGATTCTTCGAAAATTGGGTATAATCTTTTTAAAAAAATTATTTTTATTTTGTGTGTATGGTATTTTGTCTGCATGTATGTGAGCACACCCTTATTATGTAATGCCCAAGGAGGCCAGAAGAGGGCATCAGATCCCTTGGAATTAGACTTATGACTGGTTGTTAGCTGCCATGTGGGTACTGGGAACCAAACCTGGGTCCCTCTGCAAGAGCAGTCAGTGCTCTTAACCACTGAGCCATCTCTCCAGCCCTGTGTTGTTTTTGTTTTGAGACAGGGTCTCACTTATATAGCCCAGGCTGCACTCAAACTCATGGTGACTCTCCTGCCTCAGCCTCCCAAGTGCTTGGATTGTAAGTATGTGCCACCACTTGTACCTCAGTGATTTTTATTTTTTGATGTTTTATATTTCTCCATGATACTTTCCCCTTTCTGTTTAGGTCAGGGCTGTTTTCACGATGTCATATCTTGTGTTACAATTAGAAATTCTTGGATGATACAAGTTCCCATTTTTCTAATTGTTGTTTCTACAGGGCCTAGACTAGTGATTTGTATGTGAGGTGCGCTAATCATCACGATACAAGCACTAAGTCTCAGTGGAAGCTTCACTGTTCCCTGTTCTTAAATTTAGCATCTCAATTCACTTGGGCCTAGAAAGTAGATTGTTTTTGTTTTATTTTGGTTTTGGTTCCCTTTTTATGTATGAAGTTTCAAACCTAAGGTAACATTCACAGTAAGTCATGTAGTCAGTATTTGACCCTAGGCAATGTGATTTTGAGTCTCAGTTTAGCACACTACTGTAAACTTTCATGTGTGTGATGTGAATTATATGCCATTTCTGAATTCTAAGTTAATGCAAACTAACCCTGTTTTCCCAATCATACTTTATTATAAGTGATAAAACATGCTTTACATGTAAAGTTGACTATTTAGTGCTGTTTTTCTTAGAGCAGACTTTTTCATCCGGTGTCTAGGGAGAGAAGTAATCTCTAATTCTAAGACTTACATTATATGTAACTTCTCCATGCATCTAGAATGGAGTTGGCTTTGTGCCGTGCTTGGGAGGAAAAAAAAGTTACTCAGATCATTCTCTGTATGCTTTGGTTCACAGTGAAATCCATGAGAAATCCTTTTTTTGGACCACAAGGGTCATACCACTGTAGCCTGAGACTAGTACAATAAATAAAATAAATGACAGAGTATTTGAGGAAAAATTCTTTTTGGTGGTGAATATGAATTAAATTAAAAGCCTGATGTCTGAGAGTGCAGAGTTTAAACAGTTGCTCAACTAATTTTTTCTTCAAAGGAAATCTTTGTTGTAAATTTCTTCCTATGTGTAGATCAGATAAAATCATAGCCACACTGGACTTGCTGCTATAACTTTTGCCTTTCTATTTCCCTTCAGGTCACTGTAAGGAGTTCAAACTACTTAGCATTGTGTTTAGCAGTTTGAAAGAGGGTTCTTGGGAGGAGGAGGGGTCCTAGTTATCTATATTGTTTTTTAACCTTATATCCAAACTTTTACTAATTTGAAGGTACTTTTCTATACACATGCATTAATGTAACTTGGTAACTGTTGGTTATAAAATTGAACTCATTCATATATATCTTATAGTTGAAAAAAATGCAAATAAATAGATCTCAAAGACAGTAAATTAGATTGAGGTTCCTAGGTTTGAATCAAGGAATTGTACTTAAATATAAAAAAATGATAACCTTCGAAATTTATCCTTAGCTTTCCCCATAAATGGCTTGAGGTAATGTATGAAAATGTCTTGCCCCATAAACCCTTGTAAGATCATACAAATCAAGAGGTTAAAGTTTTGGTGTTTACTTCAAGAAGGAACACCTGTGAAACTGCCCAGGCCATCCAGGGTATATACATCTGGAAAGCCACCAAGGTATCAGAAAGAGGGTCTTTTACTTCTATGGTGAGGTTAAAGTGTGTGCCCAGGAAAATTCCCAGGTCCATTCACAGTGTCAGTAGCGAGTTAGTATTTTTTTTTTCCTGTACATCATTTAAAATGTGGAGAGTAAGACTGAGTGGGATGGGGCACACTTTTAATGACGCAGGCAGATCTCTGAGTTCAAGGTCAGTCTCTTGTCTACATAGTTCCAGACCAGCCAGGGTGACATAGTGAGGCCCTGTCTCCAAAAAGAAAAACCAAAAATAGAGAGCAATGTTGACCTTTTGGGTTTACACATGTACATTCTGGTAAGCAAATCACCCAAGATGCACCAGTCCACTTAGTACTCAGAGTCGGATTAACCCATATATGGGCTCTCTTTGCCACATCAAATTGATCCTTATAGAAAAGGAACAAATTATTCTTAAGCTGGAAGAGGAGGTTGCAAGAAGAAAAAGGACAAAAGAAACTGAAGAAATAAAGACAGTGAAAGAATAAGTTCAGCATAAAATAAATGCAAGTAGTAGTAAAAGTTTAAAAGAATAACTAACTGGGGGCTGGAGAGATGGCTCAATGGTTAAGAACACTGGTTGTTCTTGCAGAAGACCCGGGTTTGAATCCCAGCACCCACATGGCAGCTAACAACTGTCCATAACTCCAGTTCCAGGGGATCCTGACAGCCTCTTCTGACCTCCATGGGTATTGCACGACATGAGTGCATGTGCCTACATGCAGGCAATACATGCATACACATAAAATAAATAAAATTTAAAAAAAAAGAATAACTAACTATAAATGTGTCTGTAGTTTTAGCCAAAGCTGTGTGGGTGATGCTGCTGGAGAGCTGCTTCTGTACCAAAGAAAACTGCTACCTCTCATGGAAATGTCATCTTGTGACACTTAGGAAGGTGGGCCTCCACAGTGATTGCTAAAAAATTTCCTCCACCCATTGAGTTTTGTCGTGAAGAGGAACCTTTGAATTGCCTTCAAACATTAGTTCCAGGTCCAAAGTTAAGAGACGATTCTGTATATAAAGGTTGTTAGTTTAGAACAGTTTAAAAATTAGCTTTGTCATTTTAGAAGTAATTAGAAATCAGTTCAACATAAGATGCCAAACAAATTTTAATTATTAGGATAGACAATTTCTTTATGATACATTGGTAGTACCAGTGACAGGTAAATGCTGGCTACTTTCTGGCCTGCCTTTGCCATTCCTTATTTTTATGACTATTCTTGAGTGTAACTCTGACAAATAGGGTAACTGATTGATTTGTTTAAATGGCCCTGGTTTGGGGTTTTTTAAAGTTGTATGGAAAATCTTTTATTTTCTGAGGTATTCACTTGTGTTTATTATTTCATTTTACTTTGTTACTGGAGTTAACCCTGCAATAGAATAATACCAAAAGAGCACCAGAAACTTAATGAAGTTTTAGATACATCAGATCTCAGGGTACTCTTAAAAGTGGTTGTCAGTGAATAGGAAGGAAGTTTGGAAGCCAGTAAAGGTCTTAGCAGTGACAACTTCTAGAGGAAGTGCTGTGAATTATGTGGCTATGATAATTGTGTTCTGAGCTCCAGTTTTGTGTTTGATCTTGCCTCCTCCTAATTTTGTTCTCAACTTTTTGACGTGAAACTTGAAATATCAGAAATATATCATATATTTTTTAAAATTTTATTATTTTTATTTTATGGGTATGCGTGTATTGCTTGCATGTAGGTTAAGTGCACCCATGTCGTGCAATGCCCGTTGAGGTCAGAAGAGGCTGTCAGATCCCGTGGGACTGGAGTTACGGACAGTTTTAGCTGCCATGTGGGTGCTGGGAATCGAACCCGGGTCTTCTGCAAGAATAACCAGTTATATTTAACCGCTGAGCCATCTCTCCATATTTTTTAAAAATTATTGTTACATTTAAAGAAATTTTGTGTGTCTGTACTTACATGCTATTTGGCACACATGTGGAGGTCAGAGGACAACTTGTAAGAGTTAGCTTTCTCCTTCTACCATGTGTGTCCCAGGGATTGAACTCAGATCTTCAGACTTGATGGCAAGCACCTTTATCCTCTGAGCCATCCTGCCGGCCCTATTTGTCATTTTTCTTCAGTTAATGTTTTCTTCGAAATAGTGTCCTTTAAGCCAGGCATTGTGGACATGCTTGTAACCCCAGCACTAGGAGAATCAATAGTTTAAGAACAGCCTGGGCAACAAAAGACCTTGTCTCAAAAACAAAAAACAAAACCCCAAATGGAAATAGTTCTTTTTCTTTTTCTTCAAGCCTCCTCCTCCTTCTGATCTCTTTATGTCTTTTTATGGCGTTGCTGTTCTCTTAAACATTTTGCAAAATCTAAAATACTGCTCCTTCTGCCATTTGCTTTCAGAATCAATTACTGAGTCATACCAAATCAGTTTTTAGTTTGGTATTAGATTTTCTTCATCTGGGCACAAACTGCTTCTGTTTTTCTCTGTTCTCTTTCATGTTTGAACTAAAGCCTTCATAACAGTTTGTCTGTCCAGCCATCCATCTGATATACAAACATCAGTCATCTGATACACAAATACAAATGCACAGACACAGATAAAATCTAAAATACTGCTCCTTTTCTTCTGCCATTTGCTTTCAGAATCAATTGAGTCATACTAAATCACTTTTTAGGTTGGTATTAGACACACATCTACTTAGATTATGATTTTAATCATTTTGAGATTAGGGACTTTATATTATACCTGCAAATATTTTCCCCAGAACTTTGAAGCAGTAATACTCAGTAGTAGCTTGGTTTGAATACTGACACTTCCTTTGATGCTAGTTTCTCAAATATACTTATTGTTAATACTTATTGTTCCTTGGTGTTACTGAGGTAAAGTGAAACATTGTTCTTTTATTTCTTTTCCTTTTGCATGGGTTCATTTCCTCCTCCGGGAGCACGGTTGTCTTCCAGATTAAAGCTTATGTTCCAAACTAGATGAAATATTTCTCATGTTTTAACCACTGTATGCAGACTGCATCACAATGGCGAGATGACTCGTTTCACTTGAGCCGTCTTCTACAGTTCAATACTTGTGGACAGGACTTAACGCTGTTTGAAGTATATGTGCTAGGACTCAACACTGATTTTTGGGACAAAATATTTCAGAAATATTTTAACGGGGGTCATAAACATTTAGTATAGTGAATTCTTAGTTGGTTTTTCCCAGTACCTTTACATTCTATCCTGGGTCTGATAAAAGCTGAAATGTATTTCTTCAAACAAATTTAATTTACTACTTGAGAGCAGCAGAGCTTTGTCCTTTAAAAGTCCCTCCATGCAATGTCCTCATAGTATGCAGCATATCTTGAACATACAGGGTGTGTACACTTAGGGCATTTCACTTGGTCTGGACAGTTCAGCCCACCTCTCTATTTTAGACTTCCTTTTTGACAGTCAGAATTGTGAATATATGAATAGAATGAATATTGTTTTTTTTGTTTAGTAGAGAGTTTGCAGGCTTGCATCTGTTTGTTATTTGGCTCACATTTACTGAGTTTCTGTTGCATGTCAGACATTGGCAAATAGCAAATACTTGTAGCAACTTGAGTGTGAAGATAACTCTAGTCTGGACATTTATTCCCCACCATTCTGTTTTCTCTGGTATCTGTTTCATAGTGTTAATGGCTTTAAACATTTTATTACTTTTTTCTGTTCTGTGTGTTGCTGCATTGTCTGAGGGCTCCTGTTGCTCTTTTTAGCCAGAAGCTTAGCTGGGGCCTAGGTGCTAGCTGAGTCCTTAATGCTCTAAGCTGAGGGGCTTGACCTCTCTCCATGTGGCCTTTTATTCTGGGCTTCTGACATGTAGATGATACCAAGGTTCCTAGAGAACAAGACCATATGAAGTACAAGTGTCTAGCCCATTTGTTGATACTCCATTGGCCAAAAGGAGCCCCAAGCCTTGAGTTGGATGTGGGAGGAGACTACACAAAGGCCGCACTGGAGAGGTGTCCATATTTTATTGACTGAGGACTTTTGGCTTTATATGTATGTTTTGTTTTTTGTTTGTTCTTTGTTTTAATTGTTGTTTGATTTTTTTTTTTTTTTTTTTTTTAAATGATAGGGCCTCCTGTAGCCTAGGCTACCCTCAACTGATTTTCCTACCTCTACCTCTTGAGTACTGGGGTTCCAGGCATGTGCTACCATGCCAGCTTGTGTATTTATTTCTTGGTATGCCTGTCTGTTCTTGCACATGTATAAGGAGATCAGTGGACAACCTTGAATGTTCTTCGGGTGTCATGCACCTTTCTTTTAGTCAGGATCTGTCACCTGAACTTGCCAAGTAGACTAGGCTAGTTTAACGGCCAGTGAACCCCGGGGTTCCTCCTATCTTTGCTTCCCCAGTTTTGGGATGGCAAATACATGCCACTACACTGTTTTTTTTTGTTTTTGTTTGTTTGTTTGATTGTTTTGTTTTTTAATGTGAATTTTTGGGATTAAACTGAGGATTTCAAGTACCTTAGCAACTAGGGCATCTCTCCTGCCCCTATTTGTTTTTTGAGACAGAGCCTTGCCACATATCAAGGCTGGCCATCTTCCTGCTCAGCCTTGTGAGTGCTGGAATTACAGGCATGCTGCATTCAGACTAACTAGTCTTTTTGATGGTAAGTTTTTTTTGTTGTTTTTGTTTGGTTTTGGATGGTAGTTTTTGTAGATGTGAAGATCTTAGATTTGGAAGATTACCTACAAAATTCCTTTTAGATGAGGAAACCAGTTCAGAAATGAAAATGGACTTGCCCAGTGTTGTCCAGCTAGAAGGTGGCAGTGTTGGTGCTAGAGTCTTTGGTTCCAGTACTTGTTCACTTGCATAATGTTCACAGAGCTCTCAGTCGCCCATGATGGCGGTGAAATACAGCTTGAAGTTTTAGGTAGACTTCAGTATCTCAAAGGCTGGTCAGTGAAAGTATCTTTCAGTAATGCTAAAAACTTCTCACTTTACCACTTGGAGCCTGTTCCTACCTACTAGTAGCACCTGAGTTAAATGTTCTTCAGTAAGGTTAGATTTTACTTCCTAAACATTTATACACGTGACTTCTCTGAGACATTGGAAAACAAAGTAATACAAAGTTGAAAAGCCACATATAAATCTTTTTATTAGATAATATTTTTGAAAGGAATTAAAAAATTTGCATTTGATGGATTTTAGATTTCTTGTTCTGAAAAGTTTAATGGGCTGGAGAGATGGCTCAGCGGTTAAGAACACTGACTGTTCTTGCAGAAGACCCGTGTTTGAATCCCAGCACCCACATGGCAGCTAACAACTATCCATAACTCTAGTTCCAGGGGATCTGACAGCCTCTTCTGTCCTCTGTGGGCATTGCATGACCTGGGTGCACTTACCTACATGCAGGCATAACACTTATACATATAAAATAAAATAAAAAATAAATAAAATGTAAAAAAAAAGTTTATTGTTGTATAGCCATAGTATTCAAAATTCATTCTATCTTGATAAAATACTTTTCTTCTTCTAGAATTGGAGGCATATGCTGGAGTTATCAGTGCACTTCGGGCACAGGGGGATCTCACCAAGGAAAAGAAAGATCTTCTTGGAGAACTCTCAAAAGTTCTTAGGTAATTTGTCATAAAAGTTTGGGAGATGTGACGAGAAATCTCATTTTATGGGGGTTTATTTCTTTTCACTCTCAAATTGAAGAACAGGTGTTCACTTTGTTGGGTGCCTAGAGATCCTGTCTCAGTTGTGTACTTAACTGTTACAGAAAACTGTAACTTACTCTGTTTTATAATCCAGTCAGAAGGATTTAAGGCAGATATTTTGGGCACCTGGAGTAGGAGGTGCTTTGACACAGGTGAAGAAAAGAAGAGCTGGCGGCAGCTGAATATGAAGATCTAGATGGCAATTGTTGGAAGGAAAAGAGATGTAATGGAGGTGCCTCAGCATGTAAGGGGGTGGTGGTGACCTAGTCATAGCCTTAAACATAGCTGATTCCTGTGGCTCAGCTAGTGTGGCACTTGAGTCCAGTAAATTCTAGTGAAAGGGGTTCCTTGGTACTTTGTCTTATCCTTTTTTTTTTGGTCTTTTTGATACAGGGTCTCCCTGTAGCTCCAGCTGGCCTGGAACTCACTATGTAGACCAGGCTGATTCACAAAGATCCATCTGCCTCTGCCTCCCAAGTGCTGGGATTAAAGGCGTGCGCCAGCGTGCCTGGTGTGTCTTATCCATTTTTATGTCTTTCCCTTTCTCATAAGATTGTTCTGCTTTAACCAAAGTTTGCTTTCTACATTTAAAGTCATTTTGTGCTATATTTAAAAGTGAAGATGTGGAAGAGGCTCTTCCTATTGTTAATTAACATTAATATAAGAATGTAATGAAGGCAAATTCTTGTCTTATTGTTTTGTTTACGTTTCCTCAAATTCTGCTTTTTAAGCATTTTGGTCTGTGGTATAAATTTAGCATAAGTAGTAAAGAATGCAGTAGGAAGAGTGGTATTCATTTCATTGGGTATTTATGAATAAAATGAATGTTGCCTTTAAAAAATGGTTTTGTATTTATCAGTGTTTAATATAAGCACATTCTTATCCTTAGTAATATCACAGAAGATCCTAACTGAAGTATTGAGTTGCATCTCATTGCATATGCTCACAAGAAACATTGTGTTGCCACTCTTAATATTTTTATGATATTCATTAAACATAAAATGATTAGAGTGTTTAACTTTGGAAAGTTTAGAAGACTTTCTTCTAAGTGCCCAGTCATCCTCTCTGCAGCCATGAGTTAGGTCATTGAGCATCTGTTTTCATGTCTAGATAACAGGAAGCTCTGCTAATCTTGCCCATGGCCTGCGGTTTCTGAGATGTGAAAGTCTTCATATCAGGTTGAATTTGTCTTCCTTTGATTTGAACATAATCCTGCAGTTTACACGGAATCAGGATGAATCCTTTCCTAAGACTTTGAAACATTTGAAGCTATCCATTAGGCAAAGTAATCCCCAACACCCAAAAGATGTTGACTTAAACATTGATAAAAGTATAGAAAAGGGATGCCTGCTTGGCAGAGTTCTATAATGGCTATTTTTTTTCATAGCATCTCAACAGAACGCCACCGTGCTGAAGTTCGGAGAGCAGTAAACGATGAACGGTTAACAACAATTGCACATAAGTAAGCCATTAGTCTACCACCCCTGATTTTTTAACAATGAAGTGTAAAGTAGTTTTGAAACAGCCTTCCTATTGTGTAGCAGGTTCCTGAGTCTTTTATCTAAATAACTATCTTCACTCAGGGATCCTGACTGTAGTGATGACTGTTTATTCAATTGGTTACTTTTTGTTTTTGTATTGCATTTTGTTAGGGAAGCTTAAAGTGCTTAGGTCAAATCCTATTGCAGGGTAATCTCTGTATAACTAAAGGCTACCATAGTTTCTCAGATTCTTTTTGAAGCATAGCTCAGTAACAAAGTAGCATGCCTACTTAAATTGAAAGGCCCTTAGAGGTTTTTTGTTTTGTTTTGTTTTTTGATAATGGTATTTAATATGTATATTGCTGTATAAATAGGCATTACAAATTTTTATAATAGCTATAATTATTTCATATATTTTAGGTTACCAAAAAATTAAGTGTTCTTTTAAGAGATACAAATATCTTATTACTTTAAAAAGCCAACAAAACAAAATGATTGAGGTTTCTTATCAAATTGTTTCCAGATCATCATTACTGATAGATTGGGTGGTAGAGGACTGAGAGCAGAATCAGACATTAGCTATATAGAGAAATAGTGCCTAAATTCTCCTAAAGAATAGAAAAACACAGAAGTTGCCCTTTCAGTGATAATAGAAGTAGTTGTTAAAATGCTATAGTATAATCCATGTTACTTTAGTTTTTATGTTCTAACGTGAATTAAAAATAAAGGGAATTCAGTGTATTACCATAAGGTAATAACTTAAGGCATTTGGCAGAATTTGAATTGACCCCACAGATCCATTAGCTTCGTGTTGTGCTTCTCTGTCCCTCATTTTATGTAACACATAGAATGGAAAACTCACCTTTTTTTTTTTAACAGCATAGCTTGAAAGTTTTGCTGTCTGTTTGGGATTTTGAGATCTCTTCAGTGATAGGTGTGTATTGTAGAAATTTAGAAAATTTCCACTAGAGATAACTAGTATTTAGTTGTCAGGCTAATGTGATTGAAACAAATATTATTGTGTTCCTTTTTTAATTTGCTTCAGACTTTTGAATTGGAATGCTTTAAAAATAACTCACTCTAGATTTTAATTTGAGAACTGGTAACAGGAAACTTATGTGCTAGATAATAAAGTCATAAATTTAGCAACACAATGAATGCCTTAGAAGCATTCCAACAGTATTTTGGGGCAACTAGTTAGTTGTAAGTTGATGCATCAGTGTCATACTTAAAGGATAACATTTATTTAGTCTCCTTTTCCTTTTCTCCCCTTTAAAGAATGAATTTATCCTTATATTTGGGTGAAAGACCAAGTTACAGGTATGCAAATAGGTTATTATTATTTCAGGCTTTTTTTTCCCTTGTATTTATTTCCATATTGAAGCTCTCAATTATTCAGGGGCACATTATTCCATTTATGAATTAACCATGCCCCTTGCTTTTCTTTCTCTTTCCTACTTCCCCTTCCTAATACTGCCCACTCTAGCTATTTTGCTGCTTGAGAATACCTTTAGTTAGAGGGTGGGAAGGGAGAGGAAGTGAATATTTGTATTACTCATTTTACTACTTGTTAGTTGTTCTGAAAAAAAATTGATGGAAGTATTTACTAGCATTTGCCAAAATATTTTTTGGATAATATATGGATTTCTTTAATCTATTTGACCTCTCCCTTTCCCTCCTCTCTCCATTAGCATGGATAATTGAGAGTTGGCTTTTATTTGCCTGTGTTTCCTCTTCTTTTTCTTTTTCTGAGTTAATGAGTTTCATTTTTGAAAAGTGTTTACTTCAGTGTATAATCTTAAGCTTCTTAGGTCTTTCAGTATTTCTGTTTTAGTATTTTTATTATGGTTTTAGTTTGACCAGATATTGCATTTATTTGTTGAACCCAAGGGTGAGGGAATGAGGTTTTTCTGCTCTCTTCCAGTCAGAAATAGCAACAGAACCAAGTTCCAAAGATTGCTTAAAGGAGAGTTTCATACACCCAGTCTGAAAAAACAAGTAGAGGAATGCCTCAGAACTGAGCTCCCTTTCTCCTCCTCCCCTCCCCCACTCCAAACTGCCTGAGGAATGTGCTTGAAAGGTGATGAGAAAGCTGAGAAGACTGAGCACAAAAGAAGGGGAACAAAAGGAGTAGCGCCTCCGATCAAAGAGGAGCCATACTTAAAGCCTTCAGCTTGAAGGCTTTACAGCCTGTTCTGTGTTTCTTGTTTGATATCAGGCTACTTACTAAGTTTGATACTGTAACTGATTGTTTAGGTCTAATGATGTTCATGTTTCCGGTTTTAATGAGACCACTCTTGGTCCACCTTGTCTCTATAGTTAGACTAAAGTGGCAGTCTGGAATTTCAGCTCTCTGAACCCTTCTCCCACCTGCCAGATATACACAGGATACTGTGTTGCAGTATACAGCTTTCTCACTGTTACCTGCACAAGGAAGGATGTAAGGGTCTTAGTTTCATTAGTATCATCTTCAGTTTCTCAGAGTAGGGACCAGAGCAAGGTTTCCACCTTCCTTTGCCATCCTTAATATATTTAGAGATTCAGGCATGTGTCTAAACTAAGGTATTCCAGAGAAACCATGAAGTGAATACTTAGTGTGTGAATTCACATTAGATGACTTGTGAAGCTAATGCATATGTACACCCTCATTACTGAGCAAATAGGAACTTTTGATCTAATTCTAACATGGTACTTAATTTCTCACCCATTTAAAATTAGAGCATGTTGCTTGAGTGGAAATTTGGAAGATTTAAAGATCTTTCTAAAAGTTGCAGTTGTGTTTTCTTACACTGCGAGCTTTGTCCTTTCAGTAGTATATATCCATGCTTCATACTAGTAATCTTCCATAATTTCTGCCATTATTTAAACAATGCACAGGTAAGTATATAGACATCACTTTGTGTGGTAAACTCACATCAAGCAAGTTTTATTAGTGATAGTCTAATAAAATGATAGCAAAATAGGAGTATACAAAAAAGGCTTTTGGAAAATTTTCATTTAACAATTAGTTAGAACTCTTTTCTATTTTTCTTGTTTGTACAATTCTGTTTCTGAACGAGTGTTAACATGGAGCTTATGTAATAAATTTATGATGTTATTGGGTCTCAGGAAGCCTACTTTTTCTTATCTTGTGTAGTATTATGTTAAATTACAAGATAATTTATATATTTTTCACAGTAACCTAATTGGATTTGTCAGCTTCTTCAAATTCCTTTATGAACTGAACTTTGTAATTTATTTCATTCAGTGAATGCTGGTAATAATTGGGCGATAATGTCCAATTAATACAAAGCAAAAGCTAGGCATAAAACTCATTAGAAAAATTTTATAATTTGTATTTATGATATGGCAGTATGCTATGTGCTTGTTGAAGGAGACATTTATTATGTGACCTTAGGCAAGCATTTACTGTCTCTGTGACTCAGTTTCCCATTCTAGAAAATGAGTATGATGATACTAGCAACTTTATAGGATTGCTAAGAGAACTGAGTTAATACACATACGATATTTAGAGCAAATGCCTGGCATGTAATATGCCCTTGACTGATTTTAACTATATCGTCATTGTTGTCATCATCATCATCATTGATATTATTCCTCTGCCCCCTAACCAGAGCTTTGGAATACTGTGCCTAAATCTGAAGAACCACTGAATATACAGTCTTAAACTCTAGGCTGGGCTGTACAGTCTGTGGTTTCACAAAAAGTGAAGAAGACCTTGTGATTTAGTGAAGAAAATTGATTGTTTCTAGATTAATTTTAAACTTTGACATTAATCATTAGTTAGGGTCTTTCATAGAGTCAATAGAGAGATATGACAGCTACCTTTGAATATTTCAGCCTTGTCAGATTTCTGGGATTTAGGACAGAAAAACTGAATGGTGTCTGCTTAGAGAGAGAAGGTCTGATTGCTTCAAGTACCTCTTAGACTGAAGGGTATGCCAAAGGAAAAAAAAAATAAGTGGTGGTAGATTTCTTTTAGCATCCTTAAATCTGTTGCTTTTTGTAAACAGGAAGGATAATAATAATATAAATAAAATAAGCATTGTCAGTGACACATGCTGTTATGTATCTCGCTCTTTTCTATCTCTTACTACTTAATCCCCCTCGTTTACTGCCTCAGTTTTCCTTGTTTGAAAGCCTTTAGAATCTCTGGCCATGCGGGCAGTTAGATAATTTTGCAAAGAGCCATTGAATTCCATCTTTCATTGTAAAAGGAAATTTGACTTTTAGTATTATCATTGCTTTTTACTTTCTTGGTATAACTACAAAATTAAGTTCTCTAAGTTGGTAGAAATACTTATTTTCGCTAATGAAACCCGATGTAATGAAACTAAAACCAGTATTTATTTACAAGTCATAGAAAAATGATCATAATTGCAGTTATGTTCATTGTAAGATTCAGATCATAGAACAAAGTAAGACCTCAAGCGTGTGGCATTCTTTGAATTTTGTTTGACTCAGTTTTAGTAAGTGAGAATGCTTGTAGCAGTATTTTCTCTTTTGTTTAGTATGTCTGGACCTAATAGCTCCTCAGAGTGGTCCATCGAAGGTCGGCGATTGGTACCACTGATGCCTCGGCTGGTTCCCCAAACTGCCTTCACTGTAACGGCAAACGCTGTGGCCAATGCAGCTATCCAGCACAATGCATCCCTTCCAGTGCCTGCAGAAACAGGAAGCAAAGAAGGTGAGTCGATAGTTTTCTGTTATAGATTACCTTTCTTCGAATTTTTAGGGAAAGTTACTGTGTTTTTTGTAGATTTTTAGCCTAGTGTTTACAATTATGAACCATAGTGGCATCTCTGATTCTGAAACTAGAAACTACCAGATTTCCAGTCTCAACCAAAGTCAAATCTTTCTTCACTTCAGAGGGTAAATTTTGTCAATCACATAATTGCAAATGCTTTCTTGGGATGGATTTGTGACTTCAGCATATCTTTTTTTTAATTTGTTTGTTTTGTTGTTTTGTTTGGAGATAGGGTCCCAGACTGGACTGAATTCAATATGTAGCCCAGCTGAACTCAAACTTTGAGACATTCCTCTTCTAGCTTTCCTAGTTCTGGGATTACAGGCATGAGCCACTGTGCATTCAGGTGTCTCTTGTTAGAGGTGAATAGAAGGTCTTTGTGAATGGCATTAGGAAATAAACAGATGACAGAAGTCAGCTGCTGGATAGAAGATGCTGAATTGATAGCTTCAGAAAATAAAGCAGTTTCTGTCTTTTGGAATCAATGGTGCATATAGCTTCTGTTCAGTCTGTGTGTTGAATCTATCACCTGACCTTTGCTTTCTTACTGATTTGATCTAGTAATTGACATATGCTTTAAAAGTCCTTGAATTCTCTTATTAAGAGTAATACTACATTTGAGAGCACACTTGAATCAACTCCAGTAGCATAGATTGGTTTTGCTTGACAGCAACCCTGAAAATGCATTTGCCAGATTTTTCAGAGAATTTGCTTTTTCTTGCCTAGCAATGGGCTGTGAGCAGTGTGAGACACTTCACTCTCACCATGCTGTTTTTTGCCAAAGGGAGTTATATTTTTCAGGGAGGCAGGTATCAATGTGCAGACGTAGCCTCTAGGGGGTTCATGTTTTCTTTGTTGTTGCAGAGGCATCTTCTTCCCACTTTTACCTTTTCTTCTTGCTGACTGGTAGAATGGGTTTCTAATAGTAAAATCAGTGTTTGGGTCTTAGTTTGCTATTTCCTAGCTTTGTGACCTTCAGCAAGTCTTAGCATCTATAAATTATGGATTCCTCATCTTTAAAAGGAAGCTATAGTATGAGATCTGGTGATAATGGAAAGGATCTAATGTAGTACATGGCATGCAGTTAATAACTACAAGCTAGCCTTGATTTTGCTGATCTGCGTCCTTTCATTGAATGATAGAGGTTGAAATTTAAAGTTGTTGTTATTTGTTATTGCTGTACCACTTGGTTGGCAAATGACAAATGAGTTTATGTAAATACAACATAGCTTGGTTCTCCCCTAGTAAGCACTCTGGAAAGTGCTGTGTTTGGGGAAAAGTTATATTTATACCATCATTGGTGCTGCTATTCATATTAGAAAGGAATTCAAGTTTGTGCCTATTGTCCAGTGCTTGCCATTAATGAAAAATGGTTTTCGTTTTTCTCAATGTAGTTTTAAGCTTGATTTGTTTGTACCTTCCTTCTTCTCCATTGGCCAGGTTAACTGTAGATAAACTGATATATACTTGTGGAAACCCATTTAAGTGACGCTCTTTAAGAAAGGTCATTGATAACCTTTAACCCATGAGTCTAGTACCTTGTACTAGCTTCTAAGTTTAGATCACATGAAAATGTTAAAATTGGCTGCTCTGTTTGTCTGGACAGTTTTGGTGAAAGTTAACAGCAAACTTTTTTTATCGTTCCTTCAGTAGTGGTTTGCTATTCCTACACAAGTACCACGTCAACCCCATCCTCTACCCCTGTTCCAAGTGGCAGCATAGCAACGGTTAAGTCTCCAAGACCTGCCAGTCCTGCCTCCAATGTAGTTGTCTTGCCAAGTGGAAGTACTGTTTATGTCAAAAGTAAGTGATGCTCTCAGTGTTATCAGGGCCACCATGAGTAATGCAGCCTTAGCTCTGATTCGATCTGCCTTTCTAGAATAAATCATCAGACCACTGGCTGTTGTCAGTGGCTAGTTTTT